AGAGTTAGTTTTGTTAAATTTACCAACTGATTTGATATTTCTAGCTCTTTCATCGCTTTGAACAATTCTCTTCTATTCATAGAGTCGTAGGCTCCTTTGAAGCCTATAAATATGTGATGAGTATATATGGCATATCTGCATATGGTGCCATACGGTGATATAGTACTGTAGAAAATATTTTATACGCTGCATTTAGAAGCGTAATTCCTCTGTGGTTAGAGCATTCGAAGATATCTCCTTTTTTGTGTGGTGAAAAGTATTGCAATATTCCATTCATTGAAGAGAAATGTCTTTGTGCATATTTCTTTTATAAGCTGCTGTAATGCCATTATGGTATTTTAGCCACCTTCTTTATATAGTTCAGCTGGGAGATTATCTATTCCGGGTGATTTGTTTCTGGCTAGTTTTTAACTGCATCTTTAACTTCAAGAATCGTTGATGGTTCCACATCTCTCTCGTCTGTTCCCCTTACCTCTTCTCTTTCGTCTTCCAGGTTTTCTTCATCTTTCTTTATATTAAATACCTAGTTAACATATTGCACCCATATATTCAATATACCTTTCGTTGCTGTTAATAATTTGCCACTGTACATTATTAATTGTAAAAATTCTGTAGGATTCTAATAAGCTTTACTTCGTTTCGCTTGGTCAATGACCCTTTGCATTTCTGAAACTGTAATCGGTGGGTCCTTATTTCTTTAAATATTAAATCTTTGAATAATACTTTCATACAATAGTCTCGCAAATCTCACACAAGATATTTAGTCAGTAATTTTTTCTTTTAAAGATTAGATCTTTCATTTTGATATGGAAATGGAAGCTGTCGTGTTATTGCTTTAAATTCTCATGTTCTAATAGGTCTCTTGCAGCCTACGGTCTTTTTATTATATATTTTTTTATTTCTAGATTTATATCATCTTCTCACGTTCAGTAGGTCTATTTTATTACACCTTGTATCACATATTCTTGTTCACTAACCTAACCTAACCTAACCGTAGACATATAATACAAGATAGACTGAGCATTGCAATACCAGCCCATTTTCCTAGTGCGGCAGAGAAAACTGATGCAAATCAGTCCCTACATATCTTTCTAATTTGCCAGGTTTATCGACCACCTACCTAAATGACCAGTGAGAAACTCGCGTGATCGATAAACCCGACACATTAGACAGAGGTGCAGGGACTGCTTTGCGTCAATTTTCTCTGACGCACTTTTTTTACATATTTAAAGAGAAGAAGGAAAATCTGCATACAGACACCTGTGACTCACACAGGTAGTGTTGGGTTCCTAATACCCTAGCGAAGTTGTGCAGGGGCGAGATGCCCAAGGAATTTAGACCCTTGACACCTCGCCCCGTCACCACTCCGAGACGGTCGGCGTCCAACTAAAAACCTCTCCTCTGTCACACCAGACATCAGGATGGAAGGGCCAGTTAAGGCATACATCTCTCCCGATGCCCTGCTATCACCCGATTCCCATTCTTTCTCCGACACATTCATCCAGGAAACCACACCCACACGAACCACCAAGGACTTTCAACCCCCTGCCTTAGCGAGGCTGCCATCTCTCTCGCGTCGTCTGTCTCTTACTCACTCTTAGTTCGGCCTGCGACAGTCCGAACCCTACCAAGGTGCTACTCGCTTGTCTTAAAATTCTGTTGCGAGTTCCCTCTCTTCTCGTTCTTTTGAGGAGAGCAGCTCCCTGACAAATTTGTGGATCCGTGTCCACCACCACTTATCCCTCATCATTTTCTCCACCATTTCTCTCACGGAATCAAACATTCTGCAGTTACACTCTCTTACAAACTTCTCTCTTTCATCCGCCCAACGCTCACACTCCAACATCGTGTGTGTCACAGTGTCCGAGAAACCACAGTAAAGGCACTGATCGGACTGAGCCCTCCTAAACCTGAAAAGGTAGCTGCGGAAGCAGCCATGGCCTGTGAGCATTTGCGTTAGATAGTAATCCAGCTGCCTATGCCCACAGTCCACCCAGCTTCGAAGGTTCGGGATTAGTGACTTCGTCCACTCCGCCACATCACGTGTTGCCTCCCACTCTTGTTGCCACTGTCCGATTGAAACTAATCTCTCGGCCAGTCTTATCTCATTTATTTCTCGCTCTCCAATGTTCCGCCCCCTACGACTGTAAATACTTGCCCTTTCACCTGCCAGCACATGTAAAGAAACACAGCCGGTGATAACACACAGAGCGGCAGCTGACACAGTCCTGTAGGCACATGCTACCCGCAGCAGACTAGTTCTGTCCACGCGTACCATGAGCCTCTTGTAAGTTGGTCTCTGACGCACTGGGGTAACACAAATGTATTGCAGCAGTCAGTATATGTCGTATTATGTCATAAACATATGATACAAGATAGACTGATCCTTGAGATACCAGTCCGTTTTTCCAGTGCGACAGAGAAAAGAGCTTTATCGTGACATGACTTAAATGACCAATGAGAAAGTCACGTGGTCGATAAATCCGACCCATTAGACAGAGATGCAGGGATTGCTTTGCGTTAGATTTCTCTGTCACACTGGGGAAACGCCATTGTATTGTAGCAGTCAGTCTATCTTGTATTATATATTTATTTATTATATATCTATAAACCTAACCTACCCAACCTAAATATTCGTTGTTTTAGGAAATTTATTTGAAACATTGTAGTCATGGTCATTTTAATTTGTTCGCAACAGTCATTTATGTTTTTACTTTCTTCCAGTCGAATTTCATCGAACTTGCTGCTAAATTTTTAAGAGACATTACGTAGAGTGCATACAGTGACATTTTAGAGGATTTCTGAGCTTCACAAAATCGTCAAAAAGCCATAACATTGCTTCCCCTCCCTATGCTTCTCTTTCCTTGGATATTTCCTTGCATAATCAGTTGGAGCAAGGTGTATTTCTCTCCACATGTAATATGTCCGAAATATTCCAATTTTCTTGTTTTAATTGTATTTAAAATTTCTATTTCTTTATTCATCCTTCTCAGAACCTCTTTTGTTTGTAACGTGTTCTGTCCACGATATTTTCAGAATTCTTCTATAAAACCACAGCTCGAATGATTCTAGTTTTTTCATTGATGTCGCATTCAAGGTCCAAGATTCCATTCCATAAAACAAAGTCGAAAAAACATAGCACCTCGCCAATCTAACTCTTAGTTCCAATTTTAAATCCCTTGTACATGGAACTCTTCTCATTTTGTTGAACTTTTCTCTAGCCTTTTCTATTCTGTTTTTGGTCTCCTTAATGTAATCATTTGTGGAGTTAATCATTGTTCCCAGATACGCATATTTGTCCACTTGTTTGACGTTGGTTCCGTTTATTAGAAGATTTTCATTATTTCTTCGAGTTTTCGATATTCTCATAAATTTCGTGTTTTATGTTCATTTTTAGACCGTTCTATACTCCGCATGTAGATGCATGATCATGACTAAATCTGCACATGCAAATATCCAATTAACTATTGAAGATACTGCAATTAAGAGTGTTAATAACTATAAATACTAAGGAACATGGATAACATCAGATGTAGACCAAACCAAAGAAATTAAGACACGTATTTAAATAGCACGTACATCATTTATTAAACTTAAAAAGTTTCTTTGTTGTCGGGATATAAGGTTAGAACTACGCCTGAGAATGCTTCGATGTTACATGTTCTCTACTCTTCTTTATGGTTTGGAAGCTTGGACACTAAAACAAGTTCATTTGAATAAGTTGGCCGCCTTTGAATTTTGGTGTTACAGAAGAATCCTACGAATATCATGGATTCAAACAATGTCAAACATGGAAGTAACTAGAAGGATAGGAAATGAGGCGGAAATAATATTAACTATTAAAAGACGAAAACTTGAGTACTTGGGACATGTGATGAGAGGGCAAAAATACGCATTATTACAACTTATTATGCAGGGCAAAATCCGAGGAAAGCGAAATGTGGGAAGACGAAGAATATCCTGGCTTAAGAACTTAAGGGAATGGTTTGAATGCAGTAGTGCAGAACTTTTTAGAGGGGCAGTCAACAGAGTCCGCATAGCCATGATGATTTCCAACCTTCGATAGAAGATGGAACTTAAAGAAGAAGATACTTCGCTATTCCGGTCACCAGTCTCTGAAGATCTTTAAAATTTTCGGTTAAGATCACAGTGTCGTCCGCATATCTAATGTTGTAAGTGGGAACTCCATTTACCTTTATTCCATTTGTTTCACCCTCAAGAGCTTTTTTCAGGATCTCTTCGGAGCGGGCATTAAAAATAACTGGCAACAATACGCATCCCTGTCTCACTCCTCGTCTGATTTCAATTTCTTCTGACACCTGTTCGTTAACACGTAATTTTGCTCGCTGTTTATAGTATAAATTTGATATTATCCTGACGTTGCTATAGTCAATCTTCTTTGATTGCAGGACATTCATTAATTGTTCATGTTTTGAATGCTTTATTATAGTCAATTAGACATGCGTATATATCTTGATTGACGTCCAGGCATTTTTGTATTAGTATAATAAGTGACAAAAGAGCTTCAATCGTTCCTAGGCCCCTGCGAAAACCAAATTGTATGTCGTTAACGTCTATATCCAGTTTGTGATATATTCGGTTATGGATGATTTTTAGTAATAACTTTATCACGAGACATGAAGCTAATGGTGCGGTAATCGCTGCATTCTCTTTCGTTTTTTTTTTGTGGGGAGACAAATAAAAATCGACGTTAACCACTCTTTGGGTAATACTCCTGAACTATAAATTTGGTAAAACTATGAAATTATTAGCAATTCACGATTTTGTGTTTGAATAAGCATTCACCTAAACTGTAGACATTACAGAATTTCTACGTCATTTTAAACTTAATTATAAACTAATTTAATACTTATTATTGTCCACGATTTTTTTATCCGCTTTGTGATAAATATATCCAATATCGTAATATTTGTATTATCAGTAGTATTCTAAAAATCTTATTCTCAAAACGTTTATCCCAAATGTTGGTAGTTTACCATATGGCTTTTATTTTAATAAATTTGTTTTGTATTGTAGTTTTGCACAATCAACCCAGGAATGTAATATTGTGCCTTCTTGAAGTCGCCAGAATAGCCTCTAAATTTGGTATAGAACCTCCAGGATTGGTCCAATTAGAAAAACAGATTGCCGAAGAAGAAAGGGATTCGTTCGATTCCAGATTAAGTTCTTTACTCACTTGGCAGTTTCCTAGTATTACAGTATGTATATAAATATTATTCAAGGAAAGAAATACAAGTCTAAGATTTGAGAATTTTAAAAATCAAAACTGTAACAATGATAATTGTTCCTTTATGTGCATTTCTAAATTTTACTTTGCAGATTAACATTTTTGGGTAAAAAAATTCGCTATATATACAACGTGATCGTTGAACTTTGAGAAATAATAATTTTAGATGATATATAATTTTAGACGATTATATAATTAACAGAGTTTTTCGGTTTGCAAAAAAAAATATTAATATTGTTATGAGACAGAATTTTCACTAAGTATTAGATTAAGTGCTATATTGTTGGGAAAGGATGCATATTACATATATTTTATTGCATTTGTTACATGGTATCTTCTTCTTATGGTGCCCTATCCAATTAGTGGATGTTGGCGACAATTCTGGAATACTACTCTCGATCTTGTGTGGCTCTAAAAAGTGCATGGGCATTTTGTCCAATCTCTTATGTTTTTAAGCCATCAGTATTTCTTTCTTCCAATGCCTCGTTTTCCTTCTATCTTCCCTTCCATAATAAGCTTTAAGAACTGGTACTTGGAATTTCGAAATATATGACCCAGATAATCAGTTTTTCTTCTTTTTATTATTGACAGCAATTCTCATTCTCTGTCCATTCTATTTAGTACTTCGACATTTGTTGTGTGATCTCCAGGGAATTATAAGTAGTCTTCTAAATACCCACATTTCAAAGGCCTCTAATCGGTTCATCACATTGGCCTTTGTGGTCCAGGTTTCTACACCATATAGCAGTATGGAGTAAATGTAACATTTTACAAAGCGATATCGAAGCATTAAGTTGAGGCTGCTGTTGCTTAGCAAGGTTCTTATATTAGTAAATGCTGTTTTGGCTTGCTCAATCCTGCTACGAATCCTGCTACGAATCCTTCATATCTGAACTTGGGGACCTTTTGGATGTTATTGTTGTATACTCTTATATTCAATTGCATATTTGGTGTTCTACTAACCACCTTTACCTTCATCTTATCTATATTATTCTTCAAGCCCACTCGTTCTCCTTCAGTGTTTTTTCTATCTATTAGTCGTTGTAGCGCTTCTTGGCTATCAGCTATTATGACTGTATCATCAGCATAGCTAAGATTACTACGCTACTACTACATTGCGAATACTACAACATAGCGAATAGTCTGTCCGTTGATTTTGATTCCATCTTCAGTGTCACTTAAGGCTCTATCGAAAATCGTTTCAGAGTAATAATTAAAAAGGAGGGGTGGCAGAACACAACCCTGTCGTACACCTTTTTCGATTGAGAAACTTGATGTAGATTCCAGTCCTACTCTCACAGATGCCACTTGATTCATATAAAGGTTCTTTATGATTTTAAGGTCATTCTCATCTATCGAACGTTCCTGGAGCAATCTTATTAATTCTGAATGATTAACACAATCGAATGCTTTCTGGTAATCTATAAAGCATAGGAAGACATCTTTTTGCTGATCTCTGCATTTCTGAAGTAGGACAGTTGTCTTTTGTGCCAAATCCTTGTCTCAAACCGAACTTTGTGGGGCTAATGTCTCTTTCACGTATGTTGTATATTCTTGTGTGAATTATCTTTAGTTTATGGATTATGGTTTATTTAGTTTTATGGTTTTAGGATCTGCCTCAATAACCTGATCATTCGGAATTGGTCGCAGCTATTAGCGTTTTTTTTGGGATTGGTATAAAGGTTGATGGAAGCCAGTCCTGTGGTATTTGACCGGACCCATAAATGTCATTAAAAAGATTTACCAAGGTGTCTAAATTGTGTTCACTCAACATTGTTAGAACCTCTATGTATATGTCGTCTGGGCCTGGCGCTTTTCCTCATTTGCTCTGTTTGATTGCCCTTACAACTTCTGAAATATTTTGGGGAAGGGTTCACTTTTATACTCACTTTCAGAGTTTATTCTAGTTTTGTCTGCGTATAGTTGCTGTTTGTAGTTTCTCCGATGTCCGATGTTGAAGTAGGTCTTTGGGATCAGTGTTACATTTTATAGAATATAAAAAAAAATCTAATAACAGTATGCGTCACGTGGATGATTCCTGATAATAAAATTGGATATAAACTTTTTTTAAGAAAAATGCATTTAACCCTAATAACCCTGACTAATAACTATTTAAATGGGAATGAGCCACAACTAAAGGTTAAAGTAAGTTTATTGACGTCCAAAATTTACAGACAGATCAAGCCTGGGAACAAATTAAATCTGCCGTAGGAGAAGCTAGCGAGAAAATAGTTAAGTGAGACTCCAAGAGAAGTATAAACAAAGATTAGTTTTACGAATAGTGTCAGGCGATAGTAAAGGAAAAGGAGAAGATCAGACAACAAATATTAACAGATAATAGAGAGTGTAAAAAACAAGAATATAGAATAATTCGAGAAAGATTAAAAGCTCTGTGTAGAAGGAAAAAGAGACACCACAATGAGTTGAAATTAAAAAAGATAGAAGAGAAGTTTAAAAACAAAGAGGTGAAGTCGTTCTATCAAGAAGTTAAAAGGATGGGAAAAGGTTACCAAAGCCACTGTAGTTATATGAAAGGTAAAGACGGAAATTTAATTAGCGATCTGGCAGAAATAATGACGGAATGGAGACGTAGACAACTGGACGGTTGGAGAAGATGTGATAGTTGAAAGACAGCCTACAGAGGTGGAGGTGGTGACAAAAATACAAGAAATGAAAAATAACAGAAGTCCTGGTAAAAATAAGATATGCATAGATATGATCAAGTTTGGTAGAGAACAACTACAAAGAAAAATATATCAGCTACAAGTGCAAGTATGGGAAAAGGAAATAATGCCATCGGAGTGTTATGAGGCCCGCATATGCCCTCTGCATAAAAAAGGAGACAAACTGAAGTGCGACAACTATAGAGGTACAGCCTTACTAGACTCGGTACACAAAATCTTTGCAAGAATATTGAGAAATAAACTAAATTGCTACACGAAAAGAATCCTCCATGAATATCAGGCCGTATTTAGAAAGAACAGATCTACTGTAGGCCAAATCTTTTCATTAAAGCATATACAAACGACTTGTCATGAAGGTAAAGTTCCCCTGCATGTTTTGTTTGTGGATTTGTGGATTTTAGACAAACTTATGATAGAGTCGATAGAGTCAAAATGTATCGAGCAAAGGAACATTTGGGTATACCAAAGAAACTGATCCGGCTAGTTAAAATTACACTAAATAACTCTACGTGTGAAATTGCTTGGCAGGGTCACATATCAGATTAATTTACGGTTGCAAAAGGCTTGAGACAGGGAGATCCTTTATCCATTACATTATTTAACTTAGTGTTAGAAACTGTAATCAGAAAATGCAGCATGAAGGTGGAAGAAACGATCATGAAAAATGAGCACCAGTGCTTGGCATTTGCTGACGATCTAACGATCCTAGCAAAAACCGAGAAATAATTAAGAAGAGTTGTGAACAAAATCATCGAAGAAACATAGAAATTCGGATTGGAACTAAATGAAGACAAAACCAAATATATGATTATGGGAGGGACAGAAGGGAAAAAAGAAGATTTTAGTGTGAGGTCTGTAAGTGGTAAAAGCTATAGTTTTAAAAGGGTTGACAAATTTGAATACCTGGGTGTAGTTTTCGATGAAAATAGAAAAGAGAAATGGGAGCTCGAAGCCAGAATACCAAAAGGGAATAAGAATTAGGTAGTTTAAGAGCTCTACTGAACTGAAAATACGTTTCTAGACAAGGTAAACTCAGAATATATAAAACAGTAATTCGACCCATAGTAACATATGCCGATGAGACATTGACATTAAATAAGAAGGAAGAGGATACTCTGGAAGGATGAAAAGGAAAATATTGAGACGCATATTCGGAGGACGGAAGACAGAAGATGGTTGGGAGAGAAGAACCAACAATGAATTAATGGCTTTATACAAAGAACCTACCATTACCAAGTTCGTCAACGCACAAAGAATCAGATGGTTGGGACATGTGGAAAGAATGGCAGCAAACAGAATGCCTAAACTAGTAATAACCAGAAAATTAATCGGTCCCAAAAGAAGAGGTAGACCCAGAACGAGGTGGATTAGTAAAGTGGAGGAAGATCTTAAACACGTGAAGGTGAGGGACTGGAAAAGAAAAGCACAAAATAGAAGCGAATGGAGAAATATTGTACACCAGGTCCTTCAGAGTAGTTAAGAATATTGTATACACATATTTAAGTTAAAGTTTTTTTTTAATAATTGTAATTAGTTAATATTAGGATTATGTTGTAAAAAAATGCCCTAGGCCTTAACAGCCTTTTGTGCGTAAAATAAAATAAGTTTATTGACGTTTTAATTTTCACTTCAGGAATCGTACTCAGATCAGTTGGTGCAAATCCTATGTATCAAGTAAAGCAATACTCGCGACAAGAAAAATAAACGATACTATGCTAAAATTATAAGTTTAAGTTTATATAGAACTATTATTAGAGGAAAAACGTACTTCTATTTGTTTTCAATTTGTTACTCAATGTCTCGATTTGGTTTCACTTCTTCAACTTTATACAAAAGCGACTTCATCTTTTTGTGGACGGCCAAGAGAAAATGCCGATTCTTGTTTCGATAGAACGCATCATTATGTAATTGATTAAGAAAAACAAATGAAATGTGGCCACTGTCACAAAAAAATCTACTACAAGGTGTCAAAAATGTGATGTTGTTTCCATGTACGCTGCTGTGTGAGTTACTATAAATGGTGGTACTTGATCCTAATCACGTAGATGTAGGATGCTCATTTTTTTTGTATTTGCGATGTTTTGCAATATTATCTCAGTAACGTAAATAGGTGTTCCAAATATAATATAATTATAACAAAAAATTGCAGCTTTCACTATCGTCTATATTTAACTCTATGAATCGCTCTAAATGTACCACATGTTCCTATAAAAGGTTTGTTGTGTACCTTGCCACTGTCATAGAATATCCATCGATAAGTACAAACTAATAGCTAATTATTTCCGAAATACTATATTGCGCAAATCGCTCCTCTTATCTAAAGTCTGTTGCAATCAGCAACAGACTTTAGATAAGAGGAGTTGAATCAGGAGAAACAAAGTCTGGACTTGTCGGAGGACAAAACATCTACTCTAATCTGCGGTAATCAAATTTTCGTCTTCTAGTGAAAATGCAAGTCGTGCTTTGCATTGTTCTACCGTTAATAGTGGAAAAAGGTCTGGTAATATGGATGATAAGTATCGCCATCTACTCATTGACAAACTATCCACTTTTTCACTTGCTTAACAGGAGTTAGATTCTGATTACTTAAAATGAAGAGACCAAAATTACATCATTGTATTCGGAAAATTCAGGAAAATGAAGAAGCCAATAGAAGTTCAAGTCTTCTCCTACGTGTTGATCCTGATCTGAGCTCATAGTGTAGTTGCTTGTGAAAGTGGGCGTGTCCGAGGATTTTATAAAAATGAAAAAATAGTAATATCGGTCGGTGATTTGATTCTTGTTTTTGGAAGGGAAATCGCTCAGATAAATCAAAGAGTGCTTGGTTGCTGTGTACAGTGACTCTTCTCCTGTGATGTCATCTGTCAAAAATTGGTTTACTGAGTTTAACGTGGTCGCAGGTCGGCTTTTGATGATCCATGACTCGGTGCCCCAAAAATGGCTACTACAGAGTATAATGTGACAAATTCCAAGATCTCGTGTTGGCAGATCGGTGACTGAAGATACGCGAGATAGCTGAGACAGAAAGCATCTCAAAAGACTGTATATGTCATATCCTGCATGGAATTTTGGGCATGAGAAAGCTGTCAATTCAGAGTAGTGTTTGACAATATTTAATCTTATTCCAAAAGAATTTCTATCACATTTCGTAACTGTCGACGAAACATGGATCCACTGGTATACACCAAAGACCAAAGAAAGCGAAGACTGTCCTATAGGCAGGAGAGGTGATGGCCCCAATTTTCTGGAATGCACAATGAGTGATCTATATCGACTACCTGAAGAAATACTAAAACGGTTACAGGGCTTTACTACGCCAAATTATTGGGGCGATTCGATGCAGAAATGTAGAAAAAACGTCCTCATTTGGCGAAGAAAAAAGTGCTCTTCCACCATGACAAGCCTCTGCTCATTCGTCATGGCGAAATTGGTCGAATTGGAAAAAAGACTATGTTGAGTAATAAATCACCACTTTTCCAAAATGTTCTTTTGTAGGCTAAGTACTTATCGGACCGACCTAGAAGTGTAGTACAAGTTATGTGCATAAGTGGGCACAGTATATAATTTATTAGAAAGAAATTTTAAGAATAGTTTTTTACTTAGCAATTAGATCTAGAGATTTGTAGATTGTGAGATAGGAGAACAATAACTCCAAAAACAATTAGATTAACTTTAAAATATACGCATATCAAATAAATTATTATTTGGACAAAGGTATAAATTAAGCGAAAGTTTTAGAAAATCAATTTAGGTATATCTTCGAATTTTCGGATAAAGGTTTGAAAAAAAAAACATTAAGAATGTCTCTTTTTAAATTTTTCAGATATCTTCATTCAATTTTTGATAGTTAGGGTGTTATTTATTTAAAACAATTTGGCTTTTATATAACCAACCATTTAATTTCATTCTAAAACCAAGGTGATATAATAAGAACCTAATATTGCGAGATATGACATAAAAATTGTCTTGAATTTTATAATAAACAGAGTGTTCTAAAATATTTTTTTACAGAGTCCTCCTCCAAGTTACTCCAAAATGAAACAGAGTCATTCAGCCGGAGCAATATCTTCAGTTCTCGACAGATGGAACACTCACCACGTGGTGCTGGTAGAACAAACTAATGCACTTAATTCATTGCCAGTAGTTAATACCAGTGGAGCTAGTGATGGTGTCCCTAGTGATAACACTGAAGATGAAGAGTGGTCACGAGGTTTGTACTTTATAATATACGAACCAATCAAAGAGCATTTCTTTGATGAAAACTAAATAAATGTGATAGTTTACTCGGCGTCGTCATTATTTTACACCAGCTTCAGGATTAATCTATTATCTATATGATTTAGCCACATAGTTTTTGGTTTACCTCGTAGACGCTTTCGTTCTAGTATTTCCTAAGAATCCTAATCTTTGCACAACATTGCAACATGCTCCAATGATACATTCACTGAGGGTATGAACAATTAAAAGATAGGCCATTCCTCTGTTTAAGTCTCACAAAGTCCTTTAAATGTTCGTGGCTAAGATTACGAAAATTAGGCTGCCACTAGAGAAGATCCCAGTTGTTATTGTTGTTGTTATTCATTGTTAGCTTGCCAAGAACAAATAGCTCCATACGCGGCTCCAACAAAACTCCACCGCAACAGATCTGCCGTCAAATGATTTTGGAGAAGTATATTGTTCAAAGTATTTATCTCCGATTTCCCTCGAGATTAAATTGTGTCAATACAAAAAATAACGTACAAATATTGTAAAATAAAATATATAGGAATAATCAAAATATCCATTTCAAAGACGCGCAGTATATTTCTTACTTATTTTTTAAATTGGAAACACCTGGGTGTGTCTCGATCTAAATATTTTTGCTTTATAGCTACAAAAGGAAAATTTATTTGTAATTTTCTTAGTATGTTTGACTGTATTTTTAGGTAGTGGTGAAGATCCAGACCTTGACGTGACCCCACCAATGAGACCATCTTCGGGGGATAGCGGAGGTGCCAATACACCAAGTCCAACACCAACGAATGAACTGGACAGAAAAGTACAGCTCGCTGCTAGACTTATGCAGAAAAACTGCAATTGTTCTAGTGGTAGATGCGAAAAGTTGAAAATCCGAAAAGTGGGCGAAGGAAAATATAATATTGCTGGCAAAAACGTATTTGTTAGGGTGAGTATGCATAAAAAAGAAAATTGACTTTAAAATTTGTAACGAGAAATGATTTATTATTGTACAAAAAATTAATATATTTTTATAGGATTTTTATATAATTGGCCAGTATTGTATTACTAAAAACAGTAAGGTAGAGACGAAATGAAGTTATTACAAATTTTTATAAAGAGTTATCTCTAAAACTCAATTAAAATTCGATAAATAAATAAAACATAGGAAACACTTTAGTACAACAAGTTTTTAGTTTTTACGTATTAGTATAAAAAAACATGTATATAAGCTAATTATTGTTGCTTATTTTGTGGTAATAGTAGAAATTAACGTATTCTGTTTAGTAAGTAGCTGTTAACAAACAGTTAATTTAATTGTAATTTATGGAAATAATGTGTAGGATTAAAAATGGTACAAGTTATTTAAGCGAAAAATATCGAGCTAAAATGTTAAATATGATCGGCTATGGGGATCGTGTTAGAACTCATAAAGAAATATGTAATTCATATATATATATATATATATATATATATATATATATATATATATATAACAAGCGAGTCTTCTACAGCTGGTGCCGCTTCTCGCATGCTAATTTCCAGCGTTTTCTGTCGAAGCAATCTTCAGTTGTTAGATCTCTGGCGGTCATTGCATCGTCGACATCGTCTCTCCAGGATCGTGATATGTAATTCATTTAATGATTTTCATCCTGAAAAATCTTTTATCACATTCAACGTTACAAAGACATTACACCGTTTCCTTCCAATTATCGTGATGTGTTCTTGCTCGGAAATCCAGAGATATGGCTGCCTATTGTGCTAGTTCATCAAATACACCCATATCAGATAAGATCCATCTAGAATTTTTACTTCACTGTGGCAAATATACTAGGAAATGGGTGGCTGATTTCTATACAGATACACTTAAATCAGGAAAAATCCCTCACTCACTTAAAAAAGGAGATGTTGAAGAAGAAGTACGACAACAAAGCTTAAAAGTAAGTAAAGCGGCGGGTTCTCTTAATGATACAATCTGAAAGAACAAACACCTAAGACAAGACATAAAAACAAAAGTCTATAAAACAGCAATTAGACCTATATTAACATACACAGCGGAGACAAGACCTGACACATCTAAAACGAGACGACTGCTTGAAACAATATAGATGAAAATACTCTAAAGAATATCAGGAAGAAGTCTATTGGATAGGAAGAGAAGTGAAAACATAAGAAGAGCATGCAATATAGAAGAGATAAATGGAGGGGCGACAAAACAAAAACATTAGTGGAACGAACATATCAGTAGAATGGCAGAGGATAGAATAGTACGAATAGCACGAAATAAGTCACCAAATGGACGAAGAAGCATTGGCAGACCAAGAAAAAGATGGTAGGGCAATTTAGGAGGCTAATATTAAAAAAGAAACAGGCTTTAAAGCCTACATACTAGAAGGAAAAAGAAGAAGAAGAAGACTTAAAAAAAGCCTCTATTATAGTCAAACTATAACCAGGAAAGGCAAATGATCAGTCTCAAAACTACCGACCGATTGCACTGCTGAGCTGTGTCCATAGACTGAAGGCTGTCCATTGTGCTCTATCTTGAGCACTTTTCATTAAATTTCTTGACACTTTCTTGAGATTGTCAGTCCAACCAGTAGGAGGTCTTCCTCTACTTCTTTTGTCTTAGTTCCATTTCAGTGTGACAATTCGTGAAATTGCATTGGTAACTCCTGATCTTCGTCTGAAGTCTTCGTTTCTAACTCGGTCACGAAGCGATATACTCAGCATTGACCTTTCCATTTTCTTCTAAGCTATTTACAGCGTTTTACAAGTTTTAGCTGTCAATGTCAAAGTTTCGGTACCATAGGTCATCACAGATAATATCCATTGGTCAACGTTTTACGTTTTAAAAAAATTGGTATATTGCTTTTAAAGATGTCTGAGTTTTCCATAGGCTGCCCATGCAGAGGTTTATTCTTCTTCGTAGTTTGCGTGTTTGGTTGCCTCTTGTGATCTTTATTCCGTGTCCAATGTTTATGTATTTTTTCACTAGCTCTACTTTGTTGTCTCCAATATTGATATTTCCGCTAGGTACTAGGTTTGTGATGAATTTTGTTTTGGAGATATTTACTTTAAGACCCACACTGGCACACACTAGTACATATCTCCTTGAAGTTGTCCGAGAACAAAACTATATCGTCTGCGAATTTCAAATTTGGTAATCTTCTACCGTCAATGTTCAGGCCTTTCTCTTCCCAGTTAAGTTTTTTACAATCATATTCTAGTACTGCTGTAAATAGTTTAGGCAATAAGGTATCGCCCTGTCGGACCTATGATCCTTGTTTTTTTGTAGCTTCACCGACATAGTAGCGTTCTATGTCTACAACAGAATTAGTAGTAACATATTAGAATTGATACTCGTTGAGCAAGGAGCGTTTAGACTTAACCGCAGTTGCGCAGATCAGATTCTATAGCTAACAACACATATTGAAGCAGGTTTTCAAAGCAAGCTTAAAACATATGTTGCTTTCATTGACCTATCAGCTGTATACAATACCGTCTCGAGACAACTACTAATCTGCCAACTACTACTATCAACAAAAAATGCCCAAGCAAACAAAAAACTCTCCGTTCACTTTAAACACAGACTACTACGACTTATAACACAACACCAAAATATCTTGGAGTTACTCTTGGCAGAACTTTAAGTTGTAAGAAAACCTACAAAGAACGACAGCAAATCATGAAATAGTGTAACCAAAAGCTATGTGACTCCGCATGGGATTCCTCAACCTCCGTACTCAGATCATCCGCTCTCGGACTTATATACTCAGAAGCTGAATTCGCTTCCCTGGTAGGGCTTTGTTGTATATGTATTTGCAACGTAATGAAAATGGTAAATGTATTTTATATTCCTTTATTTCACTTACTAATTAAAACATGTGCGTGGTTACCTATGTATATCTTATATGCTGCATATCCATCGAGTTAGAATAGTCGATGTACATATCTATGTTTGTAATGTCCCATGACATCCGTCAACATACAAGTGTCATGTCATGAAACTCCTAAAAGTCAAGTATATGACAGGCTTAATAGCAAATACACGAAGATTGTTGATATTTAATTAAACCAGAAAATGCGAATAATCTTAGGTACAAGGTAAAATTAGCTCAACACCGAATTATTGGTTTCCCATCCCGAGAAACTACGAAGAAGTCATTCTCTTCTCAGAGAATATACAAAAATCCAGGCTAACCATCAACTACCCATTCACCATGTCAAGATTGATATCGAAATGAATAGACTGTGCTCCAGATATCCTCCATTGTTAAAGCCAACCTGCTTACATCAGGAACATCTCAGCCTCTCCAACGCCTGAAGAAGACAATGGGAGAGCGACTCACCACAGGAAGTACACTAAATGGCCTGTATCAATCAGAACCCGCCAGGCTTTGAATTGCCCCGCAATACATGGACATCGCTGAACATAATAAGAACAAGCAGCGGTAGAAATGCTGACACCTTACATAGATGGGATAAAGCCCTTACTCCTGAGTCTGACTGTGGCGCAACGTTACACGGAGATTTTGATGGTAAAAATTTTCCAAAAACTGAATGTGCGTAATGAACAAAGCTTTAGACAAAACGTTGCCATTGAATTAGAGGTATAACCTCAAACTTCTACAAATTTGGTAGTGTACCATGGTGTAGAAATTCTGTCATCATACGAAGGTGGTTCACCCTGTATATGAGATTTTATTTTTTAGAAATAGTAAATTAAAATCAAAAATCGACCTTTTCCGGGAATTTCTAATAATGTTGTTTATTTAGCTATTAATGAATTTATGCGTTATTTTATGGACGCACTGTATATATAGGCTTATTTAAAAATAGAAAATATAACCTATATATAATATAAATATAATATTTAAAGTTGTATTATTTTTCAAGTGTGTCAATGGAATCAGAAAGCAGTATGAGGTAAAATATTGACAAAAATGTTCTTTTATCACGTTTAAGTAGACTTAATCATTAGCTGGCTTATGTTTTATGAAACACAATATTTTTCAATTAAGTACTTACACGATCAATAGTTTTGCACATTTTAAGCACAAGTTAAAATTCTTTTAAAATTTTTCATCTATTACCTTTGCTTTTATTTCCTCGAATAAGAATTATTATAATAAACTATATAAAATAGTATGATTTAAAACAGTTAATCATCTATTCCTGTCTTCGCTTCAACCCGAGGATACTTCTTGCCAATACACAGGCAAGATAAACATTTGTAGCACAGATTGTTTTCATGCAGATTAAATAATATTTTGGTGGTTCCAAAGAAATTGTTTATTATGTCGTAATGAATTAATCTATAGGTACTTTACATTTTCGTGTTTTTAGATTTACTCTGTTGTCATGTTCTTGTGTCTTCTTTGATAAGTTTAAGATGAGTTGAATAACCAATTTGGAATTTTTACCATTAATCTGTCATGTGTCGTTTGCCGTATTTGTTATACAAATAGTTGAGTTTTTCTACATTTTACACTATTGATATGCATTGCACATTGTTTACTTATTGTTACTTTTATATTTACGTATATATATATATATATATATATATATATATATATATATATATATATATATATATATATATATATATCTAGAGCACATTTTACAAATGTTCTATAGATATGTTTTGATTGTTACCAATTTTTTCTGGGTTTGCAATGTAACGGGTAGCTCTTTCAGGACGACAGACTCAGTAAAACACAGGTTAAAATAAAAATATGTCTATTGATCTAATATATGTACAATATACATGAAAATAAAATAAATCCTGTGCCGTAGAAATTAACTCTGCGCTCCGTCTGGATCCCGCGATGAATGAATCCCCGGCGGACGCCTATAAAAGAAAGAAAGAAAATAATTATTAATAACAAATAAAATAGGTGTAGTCAATCGCACTCAGACGTATATTCGCTTCCGCTTCAAACCAGCGGGAGCTGCGAACACACTCGTCAACTACAA